GGTGGGCGGTTAGAAAATTTTACTACTAACGGAGATACAAAAGTGGGCAGTCGGTATAAAAAGGTTGACTACCCCTGATTTAAACAAATGCCTTTGTCTATGATAGTTGGCAGATATATAAATTTTAAGATCAGTATAACTGGAAGGCAACAACTTTAATGCTTTAAAATTAAATTCACTTTATGATAAGTACTGATTTGGCTTTTGTAAAAATTGTAATGTCTCTCCTGTCCATTGTAGACCTGCTGTGTAAACTTACTTCAGATAAAATAATTAAACTTGTAAGCTTTGCTTCTCTAAAATTGCATCTGGCTTCATTTTAATTATGCTACGCTATCTGAAAAGTTTTTTTTTTTAAATGTAAGTATTATCTTTCTTTCAGTTAAACTGGATAATTTGACGCAGCAATTATTCTCTGACGTTCAAAGGGAGGAAAAACAACGAATGTACGGAATTTAACTTCTTTTTTCAAATTGCCGCTTTCTTAAGAGCATTGGTTTTCTTGTTTGCAAAGAAAGTTAATAATTTTAAAAAGAGTGAAGACGTATTCATTTAAGTAGGACGTATGAAGAGGAAGTATGTATACTCAGTTCTAAAAATACAGGGTCAATCCTAAAAAAGATAGCACGTCTCTCCAGTCGTGGGAAAGTTTACAAAGGATAATTAGGCTGTTTTATATAAGCTATTTACGCAACCCTATTTAGAAAATATTGAGGGACGTGGTGGCTCAGTGGCTAAGTCGTTGTGCTTGGATATCAGAAAGGTAGGCAGTTTGCCAGTTCAAATCCCTAGAGCCATGTAATGGAGTGAGCTCCCGTTACTTGTCCCAGCTTCTGACAACCTAGAAGTTTGAAGCAAGTAAAAATGCAAGTAGAAAAATAGGAACCACCTTTGGTGGGAAGGCAACAGCGTTCCATGTGCCTTCAGCCTTGAGTCATGCAGGCCACATGACCACGGAGACGTCTTCGAAACAGCGCTGGCTCTTCGGCTTAGAATCGGAGATGAACACCGCTCCCTAGAGTCGGGAACGACTAGCACATACGTGCGAGGGGAGCCTTTACCTTATTTAGAAAATAAATTTAGAAATTAAAAGTCTTTAACAAGGCCTGCTATTATAGTTCCAGATCTCCAGAGGGAGCAATCCCAATACAACTTTGGAGATTTCTGGAATCACTTTGTAATCCTGTGGAAGGACTATTTGCCAACAACTTAATAATTATATGAGCTTTGTGCCTCAATTTCACAGTGTTAGAATAAGGTCACTCCTTGGATTTCCAAAGGATTGTCATTTGAAGATGGTGGGTTTTTTTCTTTCTTTTTTCAAAATTACTGGAATATACATCAGTGCAGGGTGGTTTCTGCCAGTGTTACTGCCAGTTTCTTCTTCGTGCGTGTGCCTTTAAATAGGTCCACGCATACGCAGAACATTAAAAATGTCAAAAACTAGGGAACCCATTTGGGGGCATGGCAATAGCAATAGCAATTAGACTTATATACCGCTTCATAGGGCTTTCAGCCCTGTCTAAGCAGTTTACAGAGTCAGAATATTGCCCCCAACAACAATCCGGGTCCTCATTTTACCCACCTCAGAAGGATGGAAGGCTGAGTCAACCCTGAGCCGGTGAGATTTGAACAGCCGAACTGCAGAACTGCAGTCAGCTGAAGTAGCCTGCAGTGCTGCATTTAACCACTGCGCCACCAACAATACTTGGCATTCTTTAAATGCAGAGGG